GGCTTCCTCCTTGTGTGCTTTGCCCCTTTACACTCAGCAGCAGCTCCACAGCACGGACCGCAGCGAGCCTCCAGCACCTGCAAGGCCGGCCCAGACTCTGTCTCGGGCTGTTACATGGCTGCTTCCCTCTCTGCTCTGTGTTTTTCTTCCCATAGACATCGTGGCTAAAATAATGAAAACTGACCCACAGGGGACATGAGCGAAGCTGTCCAAAGAGAAAATTTAAAAACAGCATTTTCAAATCACGGATTTTTAAAAATAAAGAAAATCTTTCCAAACAAAAAGCTAAGTAAGGAGATGAAAGAAAAATAGAAAGCAAAAAATGATTTTCTCCGAGATCCAAAATTAGTATATCTAACTTTGATGAAATGTCCTCCACTTTCCACTCTCTCTTACTTTGTTTCATGCGAACTTGCGCTCGTAGTCTCTCTCTGTCTGACTTCTGTCTCTATCACTTCCTCCTTCCCTCTCCGCCTTTCTCTTTCTCTCTCAGATACTCTCCTCCTACTTCTTCCTTGCTATAACCCACACTTTTATCAAAAACTCACTATTCAACTTCTGTTAAGAAATCAGATACAGGGCATACAAAAGGGAGAGCACACAGTTTTTACTTTCACGTAGTTTTCAATAGCAGCAAGTCCACGGATACGTGTATTATACATACACACATACATGTATCTATCAGCCTCCCCATCATAATAATCACAATGCTTCAAACAGCACTAGAAAACTGCCACAAAAAGCCAGTGACAAGTATCAGTGGAAATGTATTTGGGGCAACAGTGACAACAAAACAAAGCACCCTCAGAGAAGAGATACGTCTCACACAACTCACAGCCTTGAAGAAGGGTGGAAAAACTGGATGTGAAACCACCTGATGCTCCGTCTTTTTTAATCAGTTGTCAAAGAAAATGAAAGATTCCCGCCTAGCACCATGCCCAGCCATCAGTGTAGTAGTGGACCTAGTTGCTCTGGCAAGAAGACTAAAATTTATACCAGAGATAATGATCAAATATCTGAGGTTTTGCACTTCTAACTGACTGTGCTTGGGATGTAGAGGGCTTAAGGAAAGGGTATCTTCAGGTGAATGAAGGGGTTAGTACAGCATCACAGGAGAAAACCAATACAGCCCTGAGCTGTGGTGACAGAAGTGGAGATGAAGAAGTGGAAAGAGCTTTTAGAGACTATTAAGTGTGTTTCTGCATGTACACTGGAGTACTGCTCTGCCCTAAAGAAGGACAAGCTTGAGGCATTTATAGATAAAGGAATGTACCTGGAGAACATAATTCTAAGTGAAATAATCAGACACACACGTCTAACTATTGCATTGCTCTCTTGTGTGAGAAAACCAAAAGATAAAAAGAACCAAACTAGAATATGGATGCTTGGAAATAGGAAGAGAATGTTCAGATGGGAAGGGCAAGGGGGGGGTGAGGAAAAGAAGAGGAGGGGGCTAAACAAAGACCAGAAAGAAAACAACAGCAATAAAGTTTTGTAAGTGGGAAGGGAAATAAGGATTAAAGGGAAGAGAAGAAGATGGAAAAAGATACTGAAGTGTCATGCACAGGTGCAGCGTCCTTGTGATGAATGTGATCATGATTACTATGGATGTGAAAAATGTACCATTGAAATTAATTTTTCAAAATTTAAGAAGCAAAAGTTTGGGGCTAGGTGCAATGGCACTTACCTGCAACTTTAGCTACTTTATTTCATAAAATGAAAGTATCACTTGGCCTGTCTCAAAATAATAAAAAAGTTCAGAGGATGTTGCCCAGGGTAGGGCATGCCTGTGTCCAATTACCAGTACCACAAAAAATATTTACAAAGTACAAACCTTCAGGAATTGAGGGGCATTGAATTTTTGCACTTAGGTATAGATATAGACCGCATGTTTTTGAAGGATTAATCTGGAGATGGAGAACTCAGAGCATCAGCACATAGCAGGTAGTGACAAACAACCAGGACCAGTGGTGGCAAGCCTATGGCCCGTGTGCCATGTTGGGCTGTTTGTACCATGAAAAGCCTTAAAAAGTTCACCATCACTGACCTAGATGATAAAAAACAAATGAACATACCTGGCCAAGTTTGGATGCTCCTAGAACCCCAATATTTATTTTATTTTTATTTTTATTTTACTTTATTTTGGGGGGGTTCTGAGAATAAACTCAGAACCTTTGCTTGCCAGGCAGGCTCTGTTCTACTGAGCTATATACCCAACCCTCCCCAATATTTAAGGGATTGATAAGTTTAGAGAACCAGCAGATAGATGAATGATACACAGATAGGAAAATAATAATGAGCACATACAACTCAGACATGCATAACATATATGCATAATACAAGCCTACAGATATTTATATGAGCAATATAGAAATATCTGTAGTCCTGCACTAATTGTTATTAATGAAAAGCTATCAAATACATTAGAGAAGTGCCTAGCTGAAGTCAACTACTCTGTCCCTATGCTTAATTACATGAAGCTACAAAGAAAAAAGAAACAAGGACCTGTGTCTCCACCTTATCTTTCTCCCAACTGCATGCATTTCCAATTTCAGTAGTAATAAAAACCACAGAAAAGTTTTTGGTAGGAAAATAGTTTTTAAAAGTCAGTAAGTAATCATAATCACATCCAAGAATATTGTAAATTGTCATTTAACACTTAACAGGACAGCTCCCAAATTCAGTAATACTGTGTGTGTAGGGCATGGTTCATGTTGCAACAAGAATTTTTTTTTAATGTAAATGGAAAAATGAGGAATAATCTGCAGGAAATGAGTCTTAGTTGCTATGACTCATAATATAACTCATAGCATACTTTAAGTGTAAGAATTCAAAATACCCTTAACTGTTATCCTACGAAGTGGGAGATTAGCCTGTCGTTGCATCTCTAGAAAAGCCATCGCTGCTCACCCCCAAAGCCCATCACTGTCCCCTACAATTATTTAGAAATTTTTGATAAAATTTTAGTTTCCATTGGGCATAGCTAAGGCAAATAGTGGGAGTAGATTAGAGAATGTTTTTTGTACAACTGAGCACATGATTGTTTTTAGTAGAAGTTTAACTTGGGCCTTGCTCACACCCAAATTTTAGAGATTAAATAAAACATCTGAGTTGTGTGCATGTCACTTATGACATCTCTTTTATACTTGACTCTTATTTCTTTATCCCTTTTAAGCATAAACTATAGATTTATTCCTCTAAAGTTTATTTCCTGAAAACACTAAATTCATTTTAACATGTAAATACAAAGCACAAGATTCAATTCATGTATTAAAAATTTGAAAGATTCATAACTTTCCAAATAATACATCAAATCACAAAATATCTTTTGGTAATTAAAAATATGCTAAACAACATTTTCAAATGCAAATGATTATGTTAGTGTATATTTTTTCAAAACATAAGCATAGACTCAAGACTAGTAATACCATTCAAAACAATGTTTACTATCAATGTTAATGTGAATAACGAAGGTAAATGATCTTTTAAAATTAATCTATATGATCTAAGTATTTATTTGTAGTATACATTGTTCAGCAAAATGGATTTAAAGGTCTCTGGTTGCTACTAAACTCTTATTTTGATGAATTCACAGATTTTTAATGCGGTAAAAAAAATGCAATAGATTGATTTAAATTTTTTATGGTAATTTGTTTTGTGCCTTATAAAAATTTTAGTATTTCTTAATTTTTGGTTAAACTATATTATCTGAGAGAGAACTTCTAATGGAAATTTTCTCTGATTTATGATAATGCATATATATCACCTTATTAACATTATTGTTTATAATTTTTTTTAATTTTGATAAAAATGTAGGGCTGGCAATTTGATGAAAAGCTTTATCATTATAAAAAATTCTATACCTGAATATAATTTTAAAAAGATCCCTTATGATGAAAAAGAAAAGAAAACAAAGCCCCATGATCAAGAGTTTAAAATTACAGGGTTTTTTCCTACCCTCCTCTATCCCCCAAATATAAACTGACAATGTTTCATACTCAGGAAGTAGCTAGTACGTTGTCTTTCAGAGATTTAAAAAAAAAAAATTTTGGAGTGCTCACGGATTCTATGTTCAATATTCTTTTAATAGTAAAGCAAAACAGGTTTTGGATTCTCCATCATAAAAGATACCAAATTATCTATTTATAGGTTACATTTAATAATTAACCAATATGTATATATGACCCAAACTGAAACTATACAAGAAATAGCTAATAAATATACCACGAGGATATATACATTGCAAGCTTAAAGAGATAGGAGGGTTCAAACTTGCAACATTTTTCTGTAGAGCGTAACATTTGCATGAGTCTAAAGGATTTAAATACTTCTGTCTCCTTGAGGCCTACCCATCCCCCAGCAAGGCCGATGGCCACCCCAGGATTTCCAAAACAAAAATTCACTAAAATTATAAGGAAACTAAAACTTGATTAAAAGTATATTCTGTGATAAGAACAGACAGAAAGTTAGTATTTTATTAAATATTTAAGTATGCTTTAACTATTATATACCTAAGTGTTTAGTAAAATATTTTCATAGAAATCAAAATTGAAGGAAAGAAACCCTGGCGCAAAAAGAGGGAGTGCCTCACACGCAACCAAAGCTATCTTGTGATTTCTAAAAAGGATTCATTGTTGTTAAAAGCATGAAAACTAATTTACTCAGCCCCTAAACGATTTCTCAAATTTTCCAAAGCCATAGTTCACCGACACCTTGAGGGCGAAGAAACAATGTTGCTTTGTGATATCCTTGAGTAGCTGGTAAGCAAAGATACAGACAATGTTCTTCTTTTAAATTGTGATTTTTTTTCAGTACATTTTAAATAGAAACAAAGCGCTCTGTCATGCAACAAGCTGTGTCTCCTTGCACAAAACTGACCAATTTACCACAGCCCTATCATTTCCAGTTACAAGAACACCACGCATTTCTACTGTCTACTTCCAACCAATCGTACACCAAAAGGGAAAGCATTAAGGAAGAATTAATATTCTCATTCTTACCTGTAACACATATATTTGTATCCAGGAAGGCAAAGCCAAAGGCCAAAAGTTTAAACCACAAATACATGGTCATATCTGGAAACCAGCCGTATCCCTAAGAACCAGCATGCGTCCTCCTAAAAGGCAAAATACCGATTATCTCTCTGAAAGTTTTTCTCTGCAAAACTAAATCAAAAATAAAAGAAATGAATTCATACTCTTCACTGTTGTCTTATCAGAAGGGGAACAATTTCCTCCTCTGCTACCCTAAGAACAAACCACTTGCTAGCTACAAGAACAGCTAGGTGATGATGTCAGATTCGATTTTACTAACTTCTCCAAAAATACTGTAAAGGAGCCTCTTTGCAGGAAGTTAGAAAAAAAAGTAAAAATTTACTGCAATAGTGTCTTACTTCCTTAATTCAAGTAATTACACAAAGTTAGTAGATTTTTTTAAAATAACATTTTCCCCCAAAGAAATATTTTTAAGTTATCCAGATAGTATTTCTTTACAGTATCCATTATGTGTTTTAAACTACACTATCACCCAAAATTATCAAGAATTTTCTTACCTAGGAAATAATAAAAACAGAGCACGGGCATAACAAAAGGGAATTGGCAAAATGATACAGAAACTGAATTAGTGAAGGTCTGAATTAGATTATTAAGATGACCAAGTGAAGGAATAAACTTCCTATCTAGTTACATGGGTTTCCAGAATCATTGACCATAGGGTGTCCAAAGCTCTACAATGGATAGCTTTAGAAGTTAGACTAATTTCCTATGTAAAGGCATCTCAGAGGGTTTGACAGTGTCCCCTGAATCTTTTGCAGCTATCCTTGTGAGACTAGGGAGAGAATCAGAATTTCCTTTCTACTATGGTAAATCATGCTTCCAAAAATGAATGCTTCTGGTGACTTGGGACATTCTTCTTGGTACTGATGAGGGAAAGAAGAGCAATGAAAACAAACTGTTGACGCTTGTAAATTCAGCTCTTTTTCTGTCATCCAGCATTTTGGATACATCAAAAAATAATATACAATGTTCTTTGCATTCTCACCGTGTTCTTACTAAATTGATCAACCAGGAAGGTGCTTACTTGTGAAAAAAGTTCATATAAATTCCACATTACAATTAAATGCATTGACGATATTATCACAATACCTGTATGCACTTAAAAACAAAAGTACCCACGTGAACAATTTTTATGTGAACTATAGATATTTCTTGGAGACTTTGGAGATAGATAAAGCCCTGGTAATAACTCTGCAATTCCACATTTGGAATTATTATAGGGTCCTTGTAATTATGTAAATATTCTTTTAGATAATTACAAACCTTTTTTAGCTCTTACTTTGACTACTGTCAAATTTACATCTGTCTTTGTCCCAATAGAAATATTCTCAAAGCTTAAATTCTTGGTGATAACATTTTAGTAAGATTTTATTTGTGATTATCTTGTTATTGTGGTTAAATTATCATTGTTGAGACTCA